ACCTGAAGCCACCTCCTTGCTTGACAGCAGCGTAGTCCACTGTGGCTGCCCTCTACTGAGTCAGGCCACTGGTCGATGAAGACGTGTGGCCTCTTGTGGACCCAGGGAAATGCCGATCGTCACTTTGGGGTCAGGAAGCAACTTTCTCCAGGCCAGTTTGGCCAGGGATCCTGGAGGGTTGTTTTTTTTTGGCCATCTTCTGGACATGGAGCAGGGGTCACTGGGGGGGATGAGTTGTGAATTCCCTGCATTGTGGAGAGGGTTGGACTAGATGACCTTGAAGGTCCCTTCCAACTATGATTTTAAGATCTGTACTGTAAACGCTGACTGGCAGTGGCTCTCTAGGGACACAGGAAGAAGTCTTTCACATCACTGGCTGTCTGGTAACTGGAAATGCTGGGGATTGAACCCAGGACCTTCTGCATGCCAAGCAGATGCTCTACCACACCCCTTCCTGCACCCAGGCAAAGCAGTGACAGGGAAAGCAGTTAGTGTCTTCCTGTTCCTGGAGCGTTACCTGCTCTTGACGTCTCTTCAGACCTTTCCTGATTAGGAAAGGGGACGCTTAGAATTTATTTTTATTTTTTTAGCTGAAGTTCTCAGGGGCAGAACTGTTTCCTATTTCAGTTTTCCAAGCTGTGTGCAAAGACAGATGAGCTGCCTCACATCCCACTCAGGTTGTCTGCTCGTCTGAGCAGGGCTGAGGGCTTGTAAGACATCCGACCCCTTTTGGTGGCAACGCCACACATTTTAATATACTTGTGATACAAAGTCAAGCGCCCTTACGTAAGCGCCCAGAAGCCCTACAGCTAACTGGAGATGCTATTTCGGGGAACAGAGTCTCTCGGACAGATTTCTCCCAGTCTGTTGTCTCCTGACCGCGCAAGACACACATGCAGCACTTAAAACGGGTTGCCAGACTGACACGACACATCTGCTCCTGGAGCCATGCGCCACTTGTATGCACGCTAAGAAGCATATCACTTTTGTCATAATCAGGGGTCATTAGCATAACTTATTAGCATAGTTTATTTGCATATGCCACACTCCCTGACATCACCGGAAGTGTGTCAGAAGGCAACACCCACCGCTCAGGCGCCATTGGACTGTTTTGGATTGCTAGCTATTGGGGGGGGGGGGGAACATTCAAATCTGCCCTCACAGAGGAGGAAGAGCTTGTACCTGAAGGCAGGCCGGGGGGGGGGGCCCTCTGCAATTTACCTGGCTGCTTCTTGCCCCTCATGGCCCGACTGGGAGCAGGGGGCGGGGCTTGTTGCATGTGCCCACCCCCTGGGCTCCTTACTGCCGGAGCTCCACTCCTGTGCGCTCCCGCAGGAAATGACCCCTAGTCATAATTAGTTGTATACCAAGGGCGGCCTCACTGAAATTTAGTAAAAGCTGATGACTTCTCAGTTGGGGGGGGGGGAGAGGAATAACAACAGGAAACCTCACCCCATTTTTGAGTGGAGACCCGCTGAACCTGACTCTCACCTCCCGACTGCCAATAAGCAGTCCTCATTGCCAGTCCTGCACCCCACCTTGGAAGCCAGAACTCTTACAGGGTGGGGAAGTAACTGCCAACAGGAGAAGTATTACTGAGAAGCCAGGAGAACTACAGGTCCCATCGACCCTGGCAGGAGCGAATGATGGGGAAGACTGAAGATTCTAATTGCCAGAGAGATCCTCTGTTGCCCAAGTCCTTTCACAATCACGCTACTGGTTACTCGCAGAGGGGGCTTTGCAAAGGGAAGAGGAAGGAGAAGGAGAAGAAGAAAGAAGGAGAAAGAGGAAGAGAAGAGGAAGAGATTGGATTTATCCCCCGCCCTTCACTTGAAGTCTCAGAGCGGCTTACAATCTCCTTTCCCTTCCCCTACCCACAATGGACACCCTGTGAGGTAGGTGAGGCTGAGAGAGCTTTTTCGAGGACTGCTCTTGAGAGAATAGCTCTGAGAGAACTTCTGACTAACCCAAGGTCACACCAGCAGCTGCATGTAGAGGAGTGGGGAATCAAAACCGGTTCTCCCAGATTAGTCTGCACTCTTAACCACTACATCAAACTGGCACAGTAAGGACTGTGACTTAGAAAAGAGGAAGACCGCTGCCCCCATCTGAGGTAGACGTTAGCATCATATATGCCCCACTAAGATCTTGGGAAAAGCTTTCCAAATGCTTTGCAGAAACGCTTGGGGAAAGTGAGAGCTAAGCCCTGTCTGCTGGCCCTCCAGGGCAGCCGGGTGGGCACTGCGTGGAACAGGATGCTGGGACTGGGAGGGATTCCTGGCCTAACCCATCGGGGCTCTACTTATGCTCACCCGTCACTAAGGCAAGTGAGAGGCTCCGGAAAAGCAAGGCCCAAGGACAGACTCCAGTAAGAGTGACTGTCGAACAAAACCAGCTATTTCCAGATATACATCCACAAGCCACACCCTTCTGTCCCTCTCAGTTTTAGCTCCTCCCACCGATCCTAATAAGCAGAGGTCATTTCGGGGGAGATCGCGGGGGATCGCAGTTCCCCCGGGTGAGGTACGGGGGCGGGGCACATGACGAAGCCCCGCCCCCTGCTTCCGGCCGCCCCGCTTCCAGCCCTCATTCAGCCAGGAGGAGGCAGGAGAAGAGGGAGGGTAAGTTGCTTCCTCCCTGCCTCTCCCCACCCCTGCCTGCCTGGGGCCAGGGAGGGCCTTCGCGGGGCTTCCTTGCACTCCCGCCGGCCTTGCAGGTCCACCGCCGGGCCCCTCATGGGGCTCGGCAGTGGAGCTGCAAGGCCGACGGTGGCAGCCGGGACCTTTGGGAGCGGGGTGTGTGGCCTTATGACACACTTCCGGTGATGTCAGGGGGTGTGGCCTTGACACACTTCCGGTGATGTCAGGGGGTGTGGCATATGCTAATGAGTTATGCTAATGAGTTCCCCTAGCTCTTTTTCTACGAAACGACCCCTGCTAATAAGCCACACATCCTAGCTCTGTTGCTCCAGGGTGCTGTGCATGGTGACCCACTTCCCCTTCGTACTCAGGCCTGGTTTATGCTTAGCACTGGAGAGGCAAGCCAGCTCCCCTGGGAGACGGTGCCCGTGAAAAGCAGCTACTTGTGCTTCGGGTGCCTATTAGAGATCCATAGTCCTTGCAGTTGCGCTGCCGTGCTAATTAAGCACGTGCTGATGATTTCCCCGGGCGGCAGCAGAGTTTCAATGAGACGGAGATGCTGCGAAGTCACGCAGGGACGCTACCTTGCCTTGCCAGCGTCATATTTAAACCGAGCCTCGTTATGCTTGCGAGAGATGGGGAAATACCTTCCTCTTCTTCTACTGAATCAGTCTATCACAGTCAGTCATCGTCTACTCAGACTGGCAGTGACTCTCCAGGGCCTTAAAGCAGAGGTCTTCCATATCACTTGCCACCTGGTCCTTCCAGCTGGAGGCGTCACGGATTGAACTTGGGACATTCTGCATGCAAAGCAGATGCTCTCCTTTGAGCCACAGCCCCTCCCCACAGCCTCACCCTGTTCTGGGCTGCCACCCTCTTAATGCCAGGGTTGCCAGCCAGTCTGAACAGACAGACTTCTTCTTCGACATGGCTGTGGACAGTCACTTCTGGGGTTGGATTTCCCACCCCTCATCTCCTGGCCCAACCTTCTCCTCCTGCTCATTTCCTTGCTGGAATTCAATAATGTATTCTGCTCCCCTAGGGCCCAGCCAAGGAGCTGCGGTGGCTCAAGTGGCTAAGATGCTGAACTGCAGGCTGTGGAAGGTCAGTAGTTCAGCAGTTCGAGACCCGGGTGCCGCATGACGGAGTGAGCTCCCGTCTCTAGTTCCAGCTCCTGCCAACCTAGCAGTTCGAAAGCAAGAAATTGCAAGTAGATAAATAGGTACCACTTCGGTGGGAAGGTAACAGCGTTCCGTGCGCCTTGGTATTTAGTCATGCCGGCCACATGACCACGGAAACGTCTTCGGACAGTGCTGCTCTTCGGCTTTGAAACGGAGATGAGCACCGCAACCCTAGAGTCGGATTCGACTGGCTTTCGAGCAAGGGAACCTTTACCTTTAGGGCCCAGCCAGGATTCTTTGGGAACCTGGTACTGCTGCAAATAGACACAGGATACTAAACTAGATGGAACTTTGGGCTTCTTACATTTCCATGAAGCTCGGAACACAGGCAGGCTTCAGTCAGGAGAAGTGCCTGGAATGAATGTTTCACGCAATTTTATGAAAAATTATATGCCTCAAAGATTCCCAAGAGTCCAGATATCCAAAACTTCCTTCAGAGCAACAACTTAATAAATGAACTCAAACCGGAACATCGCGTATGGATGGATAAACCCATTACTAATGAAGAGGTCCTCACAGCGATAAAACAATCAAAACCAAACACAGCACCTGGTAGTGATGGGTTTGGACCAATGTTCTACAAAACTTTCAAAATACTATTAGTAGATCATCTGGTACGTACGTGCAATGCTGTTTTGGATACGGGCAATTTACCAACCTCTTGGAAAGATTCACACCTAATCACAATACCTAAGGATAATAAGAACCGGGAGCTTCCATCTTCGTATCGTCCAATTGCTCTGTTGAACTGTGATGCTAAGCTGTTTACTAAAATTTTGGCCAACCGTCTCCAGGAAATCATCTTAGAATATATTAATCCAGACCAGACAGGATTCATATCTACAAGATCACTGATAGATAATATCAGACGGACTCTGAATGTGATTACTCACTGTAAACAACAGATTACAGAATCTCTATTACTCACTATCGATTTGGAGAAAGCGTTCGACAGCTTGGAAGTCCCATATTTACAGACGCTGTTAGAAAAAGTGAAACTTGGGGCAAAGTTCCAGACGGCGATAACTGCTCTTTATGCTAATCCATCTGCAAGGATACTAACAAATAATTTTCTAGGCAGACCTATTCCTTTACAACGGGGAACCAGACAAGGCTGCCCTCTATCACCTCTGCTGTTCGCGTTGGCGATTGAAAATTCTACTTCGGTCGGAGATCTCACCTCTGTGACTTGATTGGTGCTCTCTCTAATCAGCTCCTCCCATTCCTCGTCTGTAATGGAAAGTCTGAACTGCCGGGTCTGTAGGGCTTTCTGTAGAAGCATGCAAGCCTGACCCTGGAACAGAAAAAAAAGACCACTGAAATACTGCAAAAAAAATAAAAATAGCCAGGAAGTTTATTTATTAGATCCAATTTTTATACTGCCTTTTCCTGTAAATAGGACTCGTATGTTAACTGAAGAATTTATTTTGATTTTTTATTTCAAAAGGATAAACCACGGGTCCCCCAAGTGAAGTAGAAGAAGAAGAAGAAGAGGAGATTGGATTTATACCCTGCCCGTCACTTGGAATCTCAGAGCAGCTTACAGTCTCCTTTCTCTTCCCCTCCCCACAACAGACACCCTGTGAGGTAGGTGAGGCTGAGAGAACTCTCAGAGAACAGCTCTGAGAGAACTTGTGACTGACCCAAGGTCACCCAGCTGGCTGTATGTGGAGAAGTGGGGGATCAAACCCTCTTCTCCCAGATTAGAGTCCACGCTCTTAACCACCACACCAAACTCTGGTGCTTACGGGCACTGTGGCGCCCGCTGATACCTTTTCTGGTGCCCACCAAGTGTTTTCTAGGAAGTGGGCGAAGCCAGGCAGGGCTTTTGCCCAACAAGTCTTCTGACTGGCTGTGCAAATTCTTAAAAAATGTTGCTTTGGCAGCAGCTGCCACCACAACATAAAGATCTTCGCTGTGTGACTGAAGTTAAGCTGCAGGAATAATGTGTGTGGTTGGCTCTGCCTCCTGCGGCAGCCATTTTGTTTCACGCTGTGTCAGCATTTCCAGATGCCCACAGGAGCAGAAAGGTTAGGAACCCCTGGAAATAAACAATGGAGTGGAGGGAAGAAAGGGAAAAATAAAAGCACCCTCTGTCCAGTCTTGAGCTCCTGGGAAGAAAGAGAAACTGTGGTACAAAATTTAGATTGTCACACTAGGATGACTCACGTTCCAATCTTTGATCTAACAGCTAACTCAGTAGATGTCCTTTTGAAGACATGTTTGAAGAAGAGATTGGATTTATACCCCGCCCTTCACTACCCAAAGGAGTCTCAGAGTGGCTTACAGACTCCTTTCCCTTCCCCTCCCCACAACAGACACCCTGTGAGGTAGGTGGGGCTGAGAGAGCTCTGACAGAAACTGCTTTTTCCAGAAGACCTGTCCCAGAACTATGGTTTGCCCAAGGTCATTCAGCAGGTGCAAGTGGAGGAGTGGGGAATCAAACCCGGTTCTCCCAGATTAGAGTCCGCGCACTTAACCACTACACCAAACTGGCTCTCCTTCAGTTGGCTTGTAATTCTGAAAATAACCCTATCAAGTCAGTACTATTACCCCCACACTGTAAATATGGAGGCTGAGAGGGCTTACCATAAGGCAACTAAGCAAGTTGTAAGCACAGCTGTAATTCAAATCACTGAATTCCCAATCTGTTAGCTATTTCACTGCCCAGGACACCCCAAATTTAGTCCTGGGCAAAGGCATAGTGCCAACAGTACTCAGCAGTGCCCGTGCATATCAAATTTAGTGGGCATCGCCAATCATAAGTTGCCAAGCCCACCAAACTGTGCTGCTTTTGTTTGTTTGATTCTGAGACCAGGGTAGCTGTGCTCAACAGACTGTCCAGAGGCCGCCCCAGCACCTCGGGGATTACTGCAAGCACACTGGACTGTCCACTGAGCCCAGTGGCAGGATGGAAAAGCTTTGCCCAAAACTGAGACCCGTCTGCTGTGCTGGGAAGCCCAGCAAATGAGGCAGGTTACTCAAGGGGAGTGCAGGGCTAGACTTTAGGCTTGGTTCTGCCCCTAGCTGATACACAGGCCCCAGGTGGGGGGGGGGGGCATGGGAGAAGGTGCCAGCTGGGCTCAGGCCTGTAGCTACGGTGGGGCTTGGGGGGGGGGCTCTGCCCCCTTTCGTAAAGGCACATCCCCACAAGAATGTCTCCTGTAAATGCTTTTCAATCATTTTTAAAATGTTTTTAAATGCATGTGCTCCTTTAAGCAGAGGGGGGTGCTGTAGTTGACTAATTCCCACACTGAACAAGGGGGTTGGAGTAGGTGACCTCTAGGATCCCTTCTAACTCTGTGTCAAGAAACTGGTCTCCTTTAAGAGAGTTTTTTCTGCCTAAGTGTTAGCTTTCTTGACTATAGAAGTCATCCCCCCCACCACCTGCTGGCTTGTGATCAGGACTGTTGCTCAGGCTGGCAGAAGTGATTAACTTGCAGAGGGCTGTGTGCAAACCAGTCTTGGAATTAAAGGCCTTGGAAGTCCTGATATTACACCTGAGTGTTAAGAATGCCAGCCACCACAGACATGGGGAAAACCTACCGTTCTTTCAAACCAAAACACAACCACATTATCTTCACACTCCATGCTGGGTTAACAGAACCCATGTGAAAGCAGCTGGGGGGGGGGGACACACACAGCCACTGTGGGAGGCAGAAAACCATAGTCATGCTGCAGGAACCGGAATCATTAAACGCTTGATGATACAGATCTCCTGCCCTCAACAGACACTGATATTCTCTCTCCACAAAGCCGCTTCTGACGGTTTCTCCTCTGAGGCAATCACTTTGAAGACGGGAGGCAAAAGAATGACGCGGGACCGTCGACTTTTCCTGATTCAGCATCTCTCAGCCAAGCCTTGCAATACAGAAATCTTGCAGGGAAGGGAAGAGGTTTCTGTTTGTGTGTGTAAAACGCTGCGAAGTCGCAGCCAACTTATGGCGACCCTGTAGGGTTTTCAAGGCAAGAGTCCCTCAGAGGTGGTTTGCAACTGCCTGACACTGCTTAGCAGCCCTGGACTTCGTTGGTGGCCTCCCACACAAGTACTAACCTGGACTGACCCTGCTCAGCTTCCAAGATCTGCTGAGATCAGGCTAACCTGGGCTATCCAGGTTTCTACTTTGCCATTTCCCCTGATATGTTTCCCCCCCACACACGTTTATTTTATAAATTTCCAGTTTAATTACAAACATTTCATTATCACCGATTACACAAATTTTTAGAGTCATTGTACCAAATTGCATGTCATATTACACAATCCGTTATATTATTCCTTCACTCTATTCTTACATGCTTTATCCAATTATATACCCTTAACCATCTTACATTCTGTATTTTTTGGTCTTTATTTAGTAAAGTTAAACTCAGATTGTCCATTTGCGCTAATTCAAGAAGTTTAGTTATTAGGACTTCTTTCGAGGGAGTTTTATCTGTTTTCCATTTTTTAGCTACTAGAATTCTCGCAGCTGTTACAATGTATACTAGTAGATATGCATCTTGTTTAACACACCCCTTCGGGATTGCATTCAATAGATAAATTTCCGGTAGTAAAGAGACATCTAGGTTTAGTATTTCTAAAATAATACTTTGTACCATTTTCCAATATTTTTGCATTATACCACAACTCCACCACACGTGGTAAAAGGTCCCCACATTAGTTTTACATTTCCAACAGGCATTTCCCCTGATATGTTGGTTTTCTGCATGAAGGGGAATGATTCCGAATGCAAGACCAACTCACATGCCGGGTGGAAGGCTAGGCTAGATCCTTCGTGAACAGAACAGCAGCTCCGGAGGATCAAATCAAGGGTTAAATCTAGGGCCAGCATCCTGTTTCCCACAATGACCAACAAGATGCTGCCAGAAAAGCCCAAGCCCCTAGCAACTGGTATTCAAAGATAAACTGCCTCTGAAGATGGAGGTGCCGTTCACAACTATGCATGGCTAACAGCTACTGATACATCTCTCCTCCATGACTTTTGTCTCTATTCATATTTAGATATTTATACTCCACCTTTTTTCTCCAGTGGGGACCCAAAGCAACTTACAACACCGTTCTCCCATACTGTTTTTATAGTCAATGCCGCCCCTGTGAGGTTGGTAAGCCAGAGAGAGAGAGTAACTGGCACAAGGTCACTCAGCGAGCTTCCATGGTATAATCGGGATTCAAACCCAGGCCTGTCAGAGCCTAGTCAGGCATTCTACTCATTATACCTCACTGGCTGTCAAAGCAAAACTCATACAACATGAACAAACATTTCTTCACATGATTTACAGTCCGCCTTTCTCACTGAAACTTGAGGAGGATTACAGAGTGTAAGTCAACAGGATGGTACATCCAATAAGCAATGTAATAGGATAAGGATTGTCCTCCTGGTATCAAACTGGTGAGAGGGGCGTGTTGCAAGAGGTGCCGGTGGCTACCGAAGAAGGCCCTGAAAGACTCTTAAGAGGGGGGGAGTGGCAGTTAGGGATCCCCAAAGGGCAAGTTGGGTTTTCCTCGAACAAAGCAAATTCCCCCTAACCTCTAGGTGGAGTTGAGCATCGCTCAGCTGTTTGCTGGCTAGGTAAACAAGCAGGGAGTGAGAGCAGGCAAAGAAAATCGCAAAAGCTAGACAAACATCTGCAGATCCACTTAATCGGGATGTGGAATTTAACATTTGCCGGGCACATATTTCACTATGGGGTGGGTTTTTTTTGCTTCCAAGTACAAAATACCTATCCCCCTGACACATATTTCACCACAATACAATCTCCTAAATTTCATTTACCAGGAATTTCCCCCGTAACATCCTTAATGAGTCCCCACGTTCCTCCAGAATAGGGGCGGTGCAAAACTCAGTTATATATTTTACACAACTAGATCAACAAACTTGGTAAAAAAAGTAGCTCAAAATTCAGTTTTATGTCCACGTATACCAAACTCAGTTTACATACTAATATAAAATATAACTGTGATAAATAAATAAAATAAAAATAAATAGAATCATAGAATCAGCGTTGGAAGGGGCCATACAGGCCATCTCGTCCAACATAACAACTGCCCGCCCAGCACAGACCGAAGGTTCCCCACAGTGACCAACCCGCTGCTGGTGTGACCTTGGGTTCATCATAAGTTCTTTCAGAGCTGTTCTTTCAAGGGAGTTCTCGAGAGAGCTCTCTCAGCCCCACCTACCTCACAGGGTGTCTGTTGTGGGGAGGGGAAGGGAAAGGAGATTGTAAGGTGCTCTGAGACTCCTTTGGGTAGTGAAGGGCGGGGTATAAATCCAATTTCTTCTTCTTCAAATGATT